TGTACCTATTAAGTCTCTGGAAGGTTATCTAAACCAGTGATTTATTATGAAGTAGATATTCAATCTACTTCTATCCATAACTTCATAATAGAACAGCTCATAATTACAGCAGAAGATGCTAGTTCTCAAGGAATTGTGTATTTCATGTCCTATTCATAATTGATCAATCAAAGATTGATTTTTATTATTGGTTCATGACTTCATGATTAAAAAGAACCTTATTGGGCACATTGAATTACATCGCAAATCACAGAACAGTTCCTTAGAATTTCTGTGATGAAAGGTGGAGTCTAAAACATATACTATCAGACTGAATCCAATGCACTATAATTCATTCTACAAATACCACACTCGTTGGATTACTCTGGGCCACATTTATATGTGATTTGTAAACTGTACAGTAAAACCTTCAAGGAATAACATAAGTATAAATTTTAGATTTTCCGTCTTTTTCTTGCCTTGGATTTAATAGCAGTCCATCCTCTCAAAAGCTTGCCGGAATTTCTAAACTATTGATTAATACAACATATTTTATTGCTACACTCACAATTTATCTGCATGCGTTATTTGCAATATATGATTTTATAGTATATTTTCACCATGCTAAATATATTCTACTTAACAAGAACTATTCACCAGAGCCTCCACGCTAATTAGATTAAAAATGTTTAAGACTTGTTTGCGTGCAAGTTCATATCCTCTAATTCGTCAAAAATATCAACTAATGAATGATCATTATTTAAAGGAGCATGACATTTACAAAGTGATGTTTTGCATCTGGAAGGGGAATAAATGTAGACAAAAGTTTAAAATTTACTTTTTAATGGATATTTGAGATATATTTGGGAAGTCATTATCATTTCATTTATTTTTCAGACTTAATTTAATCTGTTACATTATGATTTCTATCAATTTTTTAGCAGTTTGTTATTCGTTCTTATAAAGAGAATTTTGAGTTATGTAAGATAGCTTTGTCATCCAAAAAAATCATAATTTGGATGTTGAAGTGTTCTTGTGCTATAAAATTTTGAGCACAACATACATGTAATACTAGAAATCGATCAAAAAAGGTGGTCTTTGTCTAATAATACTAAAATTAAAAGTCAGCATAAATAGAAATAAATTAGTGAGCATATATAATGGTCAATTAACTTACATCATGCAAAGAAATACTCATTTAAAAATCAGTATATAATTCAAATAAATGCTCAACACATGCATTACCAAAATTATGTAACATGATTCAACACCAACAAAAAGGCCAACGACAATGTCACAACCAAGGCACTGCATCAAGATTTAGGCTAATTCTCTAAGCAGGTTTATTAAGAACACCTAACCCCTCCCTCCAAAATAGTTAGAGAACTAAGGTTCCTTTCTTAGTAAGTAAACAACACCAATCAAGAAGATGAAGATTTTTAAACATTGTTTAACTTTGAGACCATTCTACCTATCTTATTTAACTTGACTAAATTTTGCTGCTTTAAAAGCTTTAAATTTGATAATACTCTTTTATTTTATTTTCCATTAAATTAGAACAAGTCACAAATCCATATAATAATATTTTCTTGGCTCTGAAGTCCTTTCAGATTTACCTATCTTATTTAACTTGACTAAATTTTGCTGCTTTTGAATACTTTAAATTTGATAATACTCTTTTATTTTATATTCCATTACATTAGAACAAGTCACAAATCCATATAATAATATTTCCTTGGCTCTGAAGTCCTTTCAGATTTGTTTAGACTTGGAAAAGGCCAATAAATAAAATCTTGCTTTTTTGATTTCATTGAATGAAAATTATATTTTGTTTATACAAATTTCATATGGAAAAAGTTTGGTCATTGCTCAACTTTTTATGAAGCTTGGTTACTACTCCTACAGTTTTGATGAGTTGGTAATTAGTTTTCCAACTCTTACACTTACCCATTCCCAACATAATTCTCCACTCCAATATGTAGGGCTTGATTTCATTGAATGAAAATTATATTTTGTTTATACAAATTTCATATGGAAAAAGTTTGGTCATTGCTCAACTTTTTTATGAAGCTTGGTTACTAATCTCCTAGAGTTTTGATGAGTTGGTAATTAACTTTTCCAACTCATACACTTACCCATTCCCAACATAATTCTTCACTCCACTATGTAGGGCTCGGCAAAATTCTAAATTCTAATCTCTCCCAAAACATCCAAGCCACCTCCAACATTCATATAATTGTCTTATAAATTCTCTCACAACTTCTAATGTTTCCCAAAGTTCTAACTCCTCATTAGAAATGAGACAAGATTTTACTGTGAGCAATCAAATTAAAAAGTTCATAACTCCTCAGACAACCCAAAATTCAAAAAATCATCACCATTAATTTTCTAACATCACAAGCCTTTGATCTAGAGTTCCTCGTCATTTTTAAGAAAAAAAAAATATATCCTTCAAAAGTCTAAATTTCTAGCTTAAAATATATGCAAATCCTAAATATCTTTTTTTACTAACTATATAACCTCGCCATCATCCCAAGAGTAGGGCTGTGAATTTAACTCGAAGATCGTTACTCGCTCAAAAATCGATTTGAATTTTGAATTGATTATTATTTTTTTTTTTTTTTTTTGCCCGATTTTAATCCATATATGGATCGGCTCAAGCTAGCTTGAGATCGGCTATAAGTATTTTTCATTTATAAAAAATTTATATAATGCTAAATAAAATCAAATGTAATGAGCTACAAGTTTCGATTTGGAACAGATCCTAACTCGTTCTAATTTTGAGGCAAATCAAGCAGACTTCGATCTGAAACTGATGCAAATAACTTAATTTGAGCCAGTTCGTTTCTATTTTGAGCCACACTTTTACTAACTATATAACCTCGCCATCATCCCAAGACTAGGGCTGTTAATTTAACTCGAAGACCGATAATAGCTCAAAAATCGATTCGAATTTTGAATTGACTTTTTTTTTCCTTTTTGCCCGATTTTAATCCATATATTGATCGGCTCAAGCTGGCTTGAGATCAGCTATAGATATTTTTCATTTATAAAAATTTTATATAATGCTAAATAAAATCAAATGTAATGAGCTACAAGTTTCGATTTGGAACGGATCCTAACTCGTTCTGATTTTGAAGCAAATCAAGCAGACTTCGAGCTGAAACTGATGCAAATAACTTAATTTGAGCCAGCTCGTTTCTATTTTGAGCCACATTGAACTCAATTCAATTTCAAGTCGAACTACCTCAAAAAATATACAATGAGTCGTGAGCCGATTTCGAGCGGCACTCAATCCATTCGAACCGATTTCAAGCTGACTCTAGCTTGACTCGAAATCAGATTGTTATCAACCCTACCCAAGGGGATATCAATTATGTTGTTCCCTCATTATTAAGATCATATAGACCTGATGTAATGTTATTTTTGTAATGATGATAATATATTTTTAGCATTCAAAAGGAGATTGATCTTTCCATATGATCAAAAAAGGAGGTGATGTGCCTATTTATGGGGAGAGTTCTTATAAAATGATGCTATCAACATCCAAAAGTTGTGGGGTACGAAGAGCCTGCAAATTTCAACTTTTGTCTCCAATCTTAAGGCTTAAAATTCCAGCTACCGTAATATATTCTTGATCTTAGTCAGAAAGCATTTTAAAGGTATAAGCATTTGATTCAAGTTTTTTAAGAATTTTAAACAAACCACAAACCCAAGCATGCAGCTGCTTACTATATTTGGTGAGAGAATGCTCGGAGCAAATCCAAATTAAAATATGACCACCTTTGTTAGATTCCTTTAAAAGAGTGCTTAAAATTTATAGCATTCGTATGTTCGTAATCAATTAATTACATTTGTAACTATACTTATTCATGCAAATAATAAAAATTTAATGCAAAGGTGAATGTAAAAAAATAAATGACAAGAATCTATCAGACCATTTGTTTTTTTTTTTTTTTTTTTGTTTATATCTGTAAATGACGTGAAGAATGTTTTTTACGTTATTTCGGAAATAGTGCTATCATATTAAAACTTAGAAGCAGGTAAATGCAAATTCCAAATATCGATATTCTTACTTCTAACACTTAGTAAACTGCTTAAAGATATATGTTCATAGCTTCCACTAATCATATATTTGGGGTAAAATTCAAATGAAAATCTTAGTTGTGACCCAATCAATGTTCATAATGTTTTTCGACATAAGAAAAAAAATATAATATCCATGTCTGAAACTATTATGCATGATAACTGATATAGTCTAACAATCTTTTGAAGAAAGTTTGGCTATGTGAAATGCATTATTAGTTATTAAATACTTGCCGATGAGGAATTCTTGTCAATTCTAACAATCTTTTGAAGAAAGTTTGGCTATGTGAAATGCTGTGTAAGTAAATAAATTTCCCTTGATTTTTTTTTAATATCAAATGTTAGAAATCAACTTAGTTTGTTACATTGCCATACATTACGCAAATAGTGCATGTTATTTTGGTGCGTTGCGCCGCACCATGCAAATGATGCCCAGAGCGCACTGCGCCGCGCCATGCAAATCATGCAGATAATGTAAAGTGTTGTGCCACACCATGCACTATGGTGCGCATCATTTTGCACCATTAGTATATAAGGTAGAATGGCAGTGTATTTATTAGCTTTTTGCTTCTTGTTTTGGTAAATTTGTAATTAACATAATGTCTAATGAGGTGTTCAACATCTCATTTAGAAGAGGGCAGAAAAATTTTTTTTCTACCAGCTTAGTCGTTTTTCTCATTTCCAAAATATCCCACAATATCCAGTGTAAATACTCCTTAAAACCGGCTACCAAACAGCCCCTTAAGGACTTTCATTTAATCAAACTTAAGGTCTTTCATTGGAAAATTGTAATCAAACAGTTCCATAAGCAAAGGGTCTTTCATTGGAAAATTGTAATCAAACAGTTCCACAAGAAAAAGACCACTAAAACTTGATAAATCATAAACCAAAATTTGAATCAGATTGATTTTATATTCTAACATTTTTTATTTACGGAATATAATACAAGAAATGACATATTTATTTACACAGCTAAACAAGAAAAAGGCAACCTGATGCTCTTCCCCGAGTAACCATTTGCTCGAGAGATCTCCACAAGCTTCTTAGCCTCCCCAAGCTTGGAATTTTTAGCCAGCCCGTCCACCAATCCCTGCAAAATCTCTGAACCTGGAGAACACCTGCGGCTCAGGCTCTCCTTACTCAACCTAAGGGCCAAATCAAGCTCCCCTGCTTCACAAAGACTAGGAATCAGCACCGTAAATGTCTCCTTATTAGGAGCGCAGTCATTCTTTATAAGATCCATATAAATCAGCTTAGCCTGCTCCAAGTTCCCAACTTGACAGTAACTCTTTATGAAGGCATTGAAAGTGAAAATATCCATCTTTAAACCTGATTGATTTATCTCATCCAAAATCTCAACAGCTTCCGAAGTCTTTCCAACGGATACAAGCCCCCTGATTTTCGCATTGAAACACTTTATATCAGGTTGAATGTTCTCCTTCGCCATTTTATTCCAAATATTATCAGCGTCGGAGAAGCGTTTGTTTTCATAGAGACCTTTCAGCAGAATATTGAAGGAAATCAAATCGGGAAAAATGCCATTCTTCTCCATGAGAACGAGGGAGTCAAGGACAGCGTCAAGATCCCCCTTTTCACAGAGGGCTTTGATGAGAATGTTATAGGAAATTAGGTTGGGGATGATTGAGGTATCACCAGCTGGAACATCGTGGAAAGTAGAGACAACACAAGGGTAGTCCCCAGAGGCAGCCAAAGCAGTGAGGACGGCATTGAAGGACAAGACCGTGCGGGGAGACCCCAGAGAAGGAAGCTGGTTGAAAGTAGCGACAGCGTTGGCGGCCATCCCAGCCTTTCCATATAGGGAGATGAGGCGTGCGCCGAAGCCCTCATGAGTAAGGTCTGCGGCGAAGCGCTTCTGATGCTCGAGGATAGACTCGACGGCGTCAAGGCGGCCAGCAGCAGCGAAGCGGCGGACAGTGAACTCGTAGATATTATGGCGGCAGCGGAAGCGGTAGGACTCGGAAGCGAGCTGGAAGTCAGCTACAAGCTTGTCGAGGTCTCTCTCCTTGAAAAGCTTGTTGATAGTGGTGTTCAGGGGCTTGGTGTACGCGCTAGGTTGGAGGTTATGGTCGGGATTAGGGTTCGAGGAGAAGGAGAATTTGCGGCCAGAGAGACGGAGGATGCGCCGTAATTGGAGGAGTCGAGCCAACATTGCTCGTCCTCTGCTGTGTACTTGCGGGAGGCGGGAGGAATTCCGGACTGAAATGCATCTTTCCGATCTTAAGCTAGGGTTTGGACAACTTGAGTCCGAGCTCGACTTATTTATTTTTAAATTTCAATTTGAATTGGGTTCTAGTCCTCATGAAGTTTACTACATTACAAATTATTAAAAACTAGATTGATATATTTATAAGCAAATTATTATAAAATAAATTGAGATGGACGGCTAAATTATTTTAACATAATTTAAATACATTTTGAATTAATATTTTTAAACAAGGTGAATTAAGCTAATGGGTTGTCAAGTAACTCAAACTTGCTCATTAACTTATGAAAATTATCACATGAGTTATCCATCAAACCAACAAACAAGTTGAGTTGATTCATACCCAAACCTACATTACACTCTAATTGGTAAAAACAGTGCAAAAAAGTATGTGCAGGTGTGTGCAGGTGTGTGCAGGTGTATGTGCATGTGTGTGTGTGAATGAAGTTTTATTAGGAACTCAGAAGCGATGGGTTCTTGAATCAGTGCTATTTTGTTAAGTTGAATTAAGATAGGGAAAAAATGTGAGGCACCTAAGTTTGTTATTGAAGCTAAATCATCTCCAATATCACACACGATTTGTGGACAAAATAAAAGGAAGCTAATGGTATTATGATATATCAAAGTTAAATTATTTAGCATGAAAAAAGTGGGGAACGACTAATAAGGCAGTAGAGTAAAACTACTATTATTTCTTGGTAGGTTTGAATTCTATAAATTTCTTATATATTATTAGAGATCGAGCCGAGTCACTATCTTGACCGTAGTCCTCATTTAGTTTAGGGTCTAAAGATATATATATTTCATCTCACTGCGATACAAGTCAGCACTCTTCCGCTTCTCCTCAATGTCATAGGAGTATAACTCTTAAACTTCTAATGAAATAAATAACTAAACTAAAATTAAATCAAAAAATTAATTTAATAAAATCAAATCATAAGATAGTATTAAACTCTACTGAACTTCGTAGGACCCAATACTTCCTACTTGTGTTCTTGGCCTCCAAAGAAAATTATTCCTAAATTGAGTCACTTATTTGATTTAGAGTTTTTTATAGGATGATATATCTTAAAATTTAATTAACTATAAGAAATTGAATTAAATACAAAAAAATTTCCAGTAATGTAGATTTACAAACTTGGAAATCTTTTTTTCTTAGATCTATGGTTGCATAGTATTTTTATTTTTATTTTTCAAGATATATTGTTGAATAGTATTTTCTTCTTCCAAGTTGTTATATTATTCTCAATATCAATCTAAAAAATAAGAAATGTCAACATTTATGTACCATATAACTTTCCATTAATATTCATATATATATATATA